CGACCGCTCCCCTCGATCAATCCAATCGTTACAGTACGCATTTACAAGTTCAGATGAATAAAATGTATGTACTGAAAATTTGGGAAAGAAAGCACTGTGTTATGTAAGTGGATCGTCCAAATAATCAGAATCGATCAACATCAATGAAATTCCGAGTTTACAGCAAAAGATAAGCTGGAGACACCAAGCAGTACTCAGTTGCACTATCAGTTCTAGAATTTGAGGCCACTCTAAATTCTCGCAATAATTCTAAATACATAACTCAGACCAGGTGACAGAGAGGAACGTCTTCTGCTAAGGGGTGATTTGCTCAAAATTTTCTCATCACTTTGGCTTTTCCGATTTGATAGGAGACTTGAGAAGATAATTCCGTCTTTAAACTTTGCAAATATAAAATTGTCCTATTGTTTCACTTAAGGATATCAATGAAATGTGTGTTTGCCTCGGTCGAAGCCAGAAGAAAATAGGGAATTTTATTGAGAAAAAGTGGGAAAAAGAAGAGAGCAGATTAAACCTGAGTAGCTCGAGATTTTTCAAAATGACCTTCTATACTATTACTGTGCTTCGTCGTTTGATTATCTTTTCATCATGCTTTTTTGCACAGTTTCCCTCACAGGAGGGTTAACAACCGTAGATATTGGTGGGTGGAGAAAGCGTCCTTGAATCGGACTGGGTATAGGCCAAGGCCGAATAAGTACATCTAATCTTGGATTCAATATATGACTTACTTAACCTACTCTTGAAAAACTACAAAGCTGTCGAGGAGAGAGGCACGAACTCCGATAAGAAGTCCCCAGGACATGCTCCTTTCTGCTATCGAGGTATATTCAAAAACAAAAACGCGAAAGACTGGGATGTTTCTCAAAGGGGAGCAAAGCAAGAAATACGAGACACCCTTGGACTCGGAAAAGAGCCGATTCCAACAGTTCAGTTTCCTTTTTACCCAAAGGAAAGTGTTGGCATAAGAGTTTCCATGAAAACCATTGCAGTGTGTCTCCTCTCTGCTTCTATTCGATCCGTCAATGTCAGCCGTATTGTAGTTCTTCTACCGGGGAACGGCTCCAAGCGGTTTCGTTTTTCGGCCCATCTGCTGAACGGAGCGCTTTTTTTCCAGGGCAGATAATAGTGCGAATGCAACGTCAGTTTTTCTTTTACGACGGATTTTTCCTCTCAATGGCAACATTCAGGGACAAAATGCTTACCGACGGATTTCCAATGAATGCAAGCAGTGGACAAGTGCCGAAAACTCCCTGGAGCTTCGTCAAATTCAGTCCCAACTGAATAATTGAAATTCAAACCCAAGCACCGACACTGACCCAATCAAAGGCAGAATGGGTGAGCCAATCCACTTTCAATGCCCTCTTGTATGAATTGATATTGTGGTTTCAACCGAGTCCGCGAGGGAGAAGCTGGAATGCCTCATCTGCCATGGGCTTCATTTTATCATAACTTAAGACTGGGTGAAGTCTGTGGACGGAATCGGTTAAACCGATTTGGTATCAGACTATTTTGGTCGCGTTCACACTGTCTAATAAAGAATCTTCAAAACCGTACGTTCATCCGATGATAGGGCCATCATCGGATGAACGTACGGAAAAGGAAGGGTAGATATAAGGTACATTTAGGTACTTTTTTTTGGAAATATAAACAAAACTGAATGCTCTTTTTGAACTGCGAAAGGTTTGAGTTGACTAAACACTGGAGACCTCTGCAGTGAAACTGACTCGATGGGAATAATACGACCATCTATGGTTTCATCCCGACGCTGCTCTACCCTACTCTCCTGCACAATGATGGACAATATGAGTAATCCATGCTTTCCGGAGGCGGAACTACCATGATCGGCTGTAAGATTCAATTATTATACTTGTTTTCAAACAATTCCTCCCAGTGATAACATCAAACATGGTCTCTATCGAAAATGGCACAGCTTCTGAATAGCTCTCCTGCAGATCGAGGTCATGTAATGTACGAATTTAAGCGATTTCCGAAAATCTAATTTCTCAGAGCTCTATCGTCTTTGCAGTCCATCGTAGCGGGGTGATGATGAATATTGCATTGAAAATGGGACCACCCAGACAATCAGCGAAGTTCTGCTGTCGGGCGGAAATTCTATAAAGGCAATTAATGGCTGGCACATCGAATTTCTGTTGATTTTTATGTCTGCAGAGGGCATCCCGCGATTAGATGGAGCAGACTTGCTTTTTGGCATGAAATTGTTAGAAGTAGTTTTTCCATATGCGAGGGTATAAGGTTTTGTGGTCTCAGGAAAACTACTCTAAACTAATTGAATGTGATGTGTTTTGTAAACGAAGGAGGGACAATTGTTCAAAAAGGGACGGAGATGGGAAAATCAGCATGGTGTGTTGCCGGTGCTCTCGCCGGACTAGGCATGGGTGCGCCTATCGGAGTAGCATCAGATTTCTCATTAAAACCAAGTATTCCTCTAATTTTTGAGTTACAGTAAACAACTCCTCACGAGGTTTAATAAGGGCAAGACGGCCACTATCACACATGCGGTCCAGGGTAGAATCCCATATCGATATCCGCCTAGACCAACCGAACCTTCCATTACTTCGGAGTCGGTCAATTGGTGCACGACTTGTTCGAGAGAATAAAAGCACTGACTTGTATATCGGCTAGCTACCGCAATGCATTGTATTTGCCACATACGCCCTCGTTACGCCATTACTACGATTCTGTATGGAAGTCGAATACGGGCGCATCCCAAAACGGTGTTGATTATACAACAAACTTTACCTTTGTCAGTCGTTTACCTTTACACGTAGATGCCTTGATAATATCAAATCATTTCATGATTATTTTCTACACTTTCTTGTCAATCCCTCTATTCAACGGAGGCGTAGCATCCACGCTAACTGTTTGGGCTTCTTACCGAAGATCGAATGAAAAATTCATTTTCTTCTAACTGGAGACGATTACCGATTAATAACTTCCCTACAACAGATGGGAAACAATTAGTTAACCTGAACGTAGCATGCTGGCTCGCTTTTCCGAGCTCGTTTTGCATCCGATGTCACTCATTATCGAAGCTTTCATTTCTTTGAGAGCTATCCCTACACTCCACCCGTTGGAGAGTCGAATAAACTAAGTACAGCTAGGGCATCTTCTAAGTCTATGGCTCTGGATCTATGTTTTCTTTTTGGAAATCACCGTTTCATTCACATCACAGGCCTGGTGGGGAGTTGAGCAGAACGGAACTTGAAGGACCAGGGAGCACACTTCTCAGTCATGTAACTTTTTGATGAATCGTTCATTCTGGCCCTGAGCAATCAGCTTGAAATAGCTTTTTGCGAAGGCTTTATCCTTCGGTAGATGGTTGAGAGAAAATACCGCGCTCTACGGCGATTTTTAAAGGGATGCCAGACCGCCCGTACGCAAAGCCGTGGACCGAGGGGAAATTCGGGGTCAGGTGGGTTAGGCTTTCTTGGATTTAGCGTTTTGAGTTCAGAGGTGCTTTGCTCATTTGCAAAGATGTTACGAATAAGTAGAGCGTTTTGATGTCAGGTTCAATGTTCGTGTTGCTTCAAGGAATGCCCTCTTTCTCCTGAGAAATTAGGCTAATTGGTTGTCGTTACTTGCCAGTTTTGCTAGCTTTCTATGAAACACAAAAGTTTCTAAGTTTTTAACAAAAGTTTTGAATGCCTCATATTAATCTTTTCAAGTATTGCTTTACCGTCGTATTTTAGTATTTATTTACATCAAAGTGCGTAATTCTTCTGTATATTTGTCTAGATGGCTCGTAGTTGCATAAGATTGCTGAAGAGCCTTTTCAGCCCCCATCGTTCAGGTAACGACATGGAGCTGGCATGGCACTAAAAGTAAAGTCTGTTTCATATCTTGACAAAGGCAGAATCTGCTGAAGGCAGCAGTGACACCATGAACTTTTGTACAAGTGAAGAGAAAATAATCCATCCATTGTTTGGGACCTTTGGCTGAGGTGGGAATAGGAAATCGAGAAGTCATGTGGAAGGTCAGGACAATCCAGTGCTTCTGCTCCTACTTTGAGGGTCGAACTCCATAACTTGGCTTATAAGTTAGTAAGTATCGTCTCCGAGAAGATATCTGTATCTGCGGTGGAGTCCACCTCACTTTTTCATTTCGTTGATTCAGCTTGGGTCGCAGAGATCTTTCCATCGGCTGAGTCCCTTCGTACACTTTATTTGTAGCTTCCACTTTCATGATCCTTTTCTTTTTCCTAACTACTACTTTCATTGCATTTACGCTTCGCTTTTCATTATACCTTTAGAACTTTACCAGATCTACATTTCAGAATGCTGACCAGAGCTGCAATTCCTTTTGCTCGTGCAGTACGTAAGTGCCATCAGAATGCACCAGTGAAGTTTACTGGACAAACTCCTACCAGTTTCATTCACGACGGATGGGCCAACGCGGTGAATTTTTGATTTCATACTAGTAGCAATATTACATCAATGGTTTTTGCGTTTAAAGGCAAGTTAACGTCTAGTTAGCGATGTTTTCGCAGCTCAGTCGCATCACTGGAATATGTCTAGTATTTGAAAAGGGAAACTAGTCTTGACATTTGATATTAACTCTTTCTCCGTTTTTGCAGTAAAATTTGTTGAACGCTTCTACACGTGCGTGAATACAGGTGGAGCATTAATTCCAATGTGCGATATCAGTCTTCTCAGAATATTGTTCTCGTTTACCCAGTTGAAAGTTGTGAATAGGCCATGTTAAGCCTCTTCTGTTGGTGTGAGTGCTGAGACAAAGAAAAGCTGTTTGTTGAGTTGGCATGGTATGACGGAAAGGTTTCTGGTATTTGCACGCGGTTCATTTTTATGGAGGAGACTTGATTTATTGTTAGATATGATGTGAATGAGCCATGCTATTTCATAGGTCATACTACGTCAAACATTTTTAAACAAATTTTCGTCACCCTAGCTCTGGTTGCTGTTTTTTATTTATCAGGCTGATTTACAACTGAAAATTCGCACCTTCTACATTTCCGTTTGAAAATGCCACAGAATACAACAAGAATTTCCCATTTCTTGTCATATTTGACCCTACGATACATAAAGAAAACCCAGGAGATGGTTAAGGCTCATTGAGTTTACAAAACTAAGGGGGTTTTTTTTTGAAGATTCACAGGATCTGAAGCTGAAAAGCTATCAAACTACACTTTCCAGCGAACTCCGTTCAGTGTGACGAACAAATGGCTTTTTGCCACGAAAGCAATTGTGATCCTAACGGTTGGATTCTGGGCACCGTTCATCGTTGTCGAATACCAGTTGAGGAAAGCGAACCAGTAGATTCCTTTGTATTTTCGCTCGTTGATTATAGAACTGTCAACTTTACATGTAGATAAATATAAAATTGTTGTCGTCGTCCCTTCATGCTTTCTTTATTATAAGAAAAAATTTTGTTATGATCACAAACATTTTCTTCAAAAGTGAGGAAAAATTGGGACCCAAGATTTATTTGCTATAAAAGTTATTTTGTTTCCGACTTTACTGATTCAGATTCTCAGTGGAGCAGATTTTTGAATGAAGTACTAGGCCTTAGGAACATGTGTGGGCGATGTTCAATGCCGGTAAGCAAAATCAAGGTATTTGGCCGTAGAAAATAAAGCTCAGTATCGTCGCGACCATATAATGAGCGCTCATAAACTTATAAGCGAAGTTTAGAGAGGTTCATCCAGAATTAGCGTCAAGGAAGGCTAAAATTCATTTGCTTGTTAGATCCCAAACCGCGTTCATACATAGACTTTGTAGGAAACCTTTTGATTCGGAGGGTTCTTGGATTACTATGATCAAGGGACACAATTCCTTCATTTAGAGTTCATATACAGGCATGTACCAACCACCCTAGGTGTGGAGTAATGGTGAAGAGCGCAGCTTTCAAGTGGGTAGCCGTCAGATCAATCTCTTGAACAAAGCAAATATGGTGAGCACCACGAAAACATTGCGTGGCTACTGAGACGTGTCTTCCTGTCCAAGAATGTCTTGGTCTTTTCACAAATGGGACCACATTGATGATTCTGATTGATCTCATTTTGATGAAATATCTGCCAATGGGTCCTTCACGGTAATTCTCGAGAATAGTTTCATAATAACAATGTTGAGCTTATGTAATCGGCTTGTTAACCTCTGATCGGTAAACAGCAGAGGTAATCGTAGGATTTAAAGTATCAGTAATCTTCTGTTTGTCTGACCTCCTTTGTGAGGGCGTGTTTGCATTGGCCGAGGTCGTCCTACTGTGCACTGTGGCCGATCAGCTTCTTGTTGTTTTCCAGCCTAAAGATGCCTACTTGAAGTTACTTAGTTGTTGTATTCTTTTTTGCTACTTTATATTACCATCATCATTTCATTTAGGAACCTGAAGGATAAGTTCGACATGATTCTGGAAGTCTAGGATTTTACTAATGTCTGGAGCAGGGGTTGAACCGGTACGGCGAGCTACTCTTCTCATAGGTCGTCCCACTAGGATTTCAATGTTCCGAAGCAGAAGTGTTCTTCATCTGTATGCGTTACGGGTTTTGGCCACCATTTTATTCAGACGCTTCCTGGAAAGGAAATTCTGGTGTATCCTGCTTTCACTCTCTCTCTTTACTTATCTACCCACCTACCTGCTCCGGACAAATACATAGATCTTGTGGAGGCTCTGTGAAGGCAGAGCGATTTGTTGAAGTAGTTTCATTGGATGGTTCCTTTCAGCGAACTGATCTCAAATAACTCTAGCGACGAAGACCTACCAAGTTCTTACTTATTGGCCCCACAATTGGAACTCGTTTGCAAACAACCAGTGCTTAGGTTACGACGACGACGACGGGCCCTGGTGCTATCTCATCGCTTTTATTTGCCTTCTGAGAGCAGCCGGTATCGATCGCTTTCTGACTAATACCTTTCACTTGCTTTGCTCTGTGTTAGGTCCGTTCGGCCATATGTACCCCGTGTTACAATGCTTTTCATAGCCGCCTTAACAGACTTGATTAAAGCCCTGTAGGCCCTGTTACGACCCAGTTAGAGAATCTTTTCCCGGAGCCAGCCTTGACAAGATGAGCAGTCGAGAAAATGTGCCTTCAAAGGGCAGCCGTCCGGTAATGCTCACTGGGCCGTTTTTTTTTTGCCGTTTTTCAACTATTTGTCGCTGTCGCCTCAACTTTTGTCAACAGCACTCCAGTGTGCCAATTTTTTCTTGAAGTGGTCTAGGGAAATGTAATTTTTAATCAGATATCTAGGCGACCAAATGGTTGTCACAAGCGGTTGTTGACTGTAGACTCTATCGATTATTTCTTATAGATTTTTTTCTAATTATAAGTTCGATTTGTCGTTGCCGATTGCCTGAATCCCGTCATCTTTCCGTTTCGTCTCTACTCAACATTCCTTGAAGGCTTTCAGGATTAATCTCTAGGTGATGGGGTTGGGTAGACTTCCAAAAACCCCAGTAATCCACGTTGTTTTTTGATTCAAGCGTTTGACGAATATGAAAAAGTCATGACCTTCCAATTCTCCAATAAATCGATCCGATTCTATCCCGACGAGCATCCTCACTCTGCCCATTGTTGAACCATTTTATTTAGACTGCTTTCCCCATCTACTCCATTCGAAGGAATTCATATATATATTGGTAAAATATACTATGCAATTAGTATTTCGATTTATCTTGGAAGAAATCTGCCAATACATTTTTTGTGGGCTTGGTAGATTTTTTTCAAGATAAATAGAACCGCTTTTTCCCCCAATGCTTTTCTTTTTTATTTTTTTTGCAGGGCTTTATAATCATTCCTCAAATAATATTGCCGAACAAAAACTACACGTATGTCAATTGTCCTACAAATACCATTAAAATCTGAATGCATGGCTTATCGCCATAAATTGATCAGTACCGTTGCCCTTGGGTGTAGTGCAAATGATAAGCTAGTTCGCTCTTCAATTTTTGCTACCACACTGCTGGCACAGAGCCGACTGTAGCCAGCGAATGCCTATTGGGCTCTTTATCCCCGTCTCCCAAGTCAGGTCATTTTTCAGGCACATAGGACATCCATTTTCATTTGCAACTTCAAATGAAAGCCTAATACGTGGCGCATTCTAACAAAGGACTGCTTGATTGCACGATCGTCTTTACCTTATGTGCTCGTCTGGTTTTGATGTCCCTACTGATGTGCTTCGTTGTTATCCAAATCACTGAATTGACCCCGTTAAGGCTGGCTGGCGATGACAAATCCTTTAATTATATCCACCATTTACGTGCGGTGAACAAATTATGCGTATTGATCACCTGGTGGTTGGTATCATTTCCGTCTCATTACATTCGTTCACATTGTCTACGCTGTTTAGTTATGATTTGAAGGGTTCTGCCGAATTTCGAACCCTCTACATCTTCCTGTGCGCATGTTTTTCTTTTATAATAGTTTCATTATTTTTTTTACCACTACTGATATCCAGTCGATTTGCATGGCTCAGTTTTGTCTAAGATCCTTGGAGAACTTGCGCGTCCCCATTCTTTGAATGCGCCATGCATTGGTCTTTCTTACAAGGAGGCAGCAGCTCTGAAACTCTTTCGCACCCTTTTTTGCTGACCTACCTTTGAGTAAAGGAAAGATTGGTAGGTCTCTGGTGACTCGATCCGGAGGTTCGCGCTAAAGCGGTGGATGAACGCGATTGTTGTGGAGCCACTCGTCCCCGAATATAATCACCTCGTCATTGGAAAATATTTTAGCTTGTTGCGACGCAGTTTCTATTTTTGGCCCATATCTTCCATCCGTTATTAAGGCTTTCTCGTGCATAATTCCAGAAATAATTTCGAGAATGAAATAGGATTCTTCCAGTGAATCACTCCTAACCATGACTCATTGACGATACTGGAATGTCAAATACCTAAATATTTTTGTAAAAATTAAAAAANAAAAAACATGGTCTCAAAGGTCTCGATATTGAGGCTCCGCCCTTTACAGCGCCAAAAAATCTATTTCGGTATGTAAAAAGTATTTCCAAGGAAAAGTATAGCTCCTGCTTTTGCAGCGTACTGACTGGCCCTATCTCCGTAATGATTCATAGCGTAGCGTTGTTGAAGGTTCATTCGGCGCACTTCTGACTAAAAGCACAGACGATCACCAGGCTTTTGTCTCTGTTGTTTTTTCTAACTTCGCCTTTTGATGGCATTTTCCCTCAGAAAATTGGCCCTTGACATGTACAGTATTTTATGCTAAGCACAGTTTTTAGGGGACCCAGAAGGCCAGGGCTTCCATTCCAGGCTAGACATTCCGAAATTCCTTCCAAAGGATTCAATAGACAAATGGAGAACCAGAGGAACAGTGTTGACTCTTCATTTATCGTGGGAATACCTTTTTTAATATCAATGCTATAGAGAAATCCCTTCACTCATTTCCCCTCCTCCCACCCTCTCATCCCTTCAGCCCACCCCTTCCATTTGAACTATGAACAGTTATGCACTATATTTCAGGTTGCGCCATGACTTTTTAACTTTTTAAATAATTCCAAGTTTTGGATTTTGTTTTGTCGAGCCATGGAATATTTTCGATTACTGATAATGATAAATGATACTTGATTACCTTATTCGTGTAACCCAAGTTACCTAACGTTTGTAATCGCTTGGCATCCGATTAGTACGAATCTAACATGGTGCTCCTTTTAGAACCTCCATTCCAGTACATTTCGATACCCGCGGAACCAACCCTACCCAAGGTTTGATCAAACCCATTGACTCAACCGATCGATATCCATTTTCTGCGTTAATGAGCTGATGTTGTGGAGTGTTTTGGTTCTTGCCGGCGTCACGGCTGACCTATGGACTGAAACGGAGCGAATCAGCGATTTACAACAAGTGATTTCTGAATTCTTTTTCTTTGTATTTTAGTCCTTTTAAAATTAATTTGGTTACTCAATATTTTGACGATCAATAAATTCAATCAATTCCTCCAGTGGCATGCCTTGTGTGGTCGCTACACTGTCGCAAAGGCCTATATGGAAGATAGCAACGCCAGGATCACGGTGAGTATCGACTGGTTATAGGTTATTTTCGTGGAGATACGATTCGTTCAAGGTATTCGCTCCGGTCGATGACGTCTTCACCTACAATCCAGATATTCGAGCTCTTGATCAAAAGGAGACTCTCAGTCATATCGGTCTGTCATCGTTTTATTGTCTTTTAATCAATAACTTGTGGGTATTGATCGGTTCTAGTGGATACCCAAGTGGTGGAAATTTCCCAAGGAAAGCGATGGGAGAAGCAGACGCTTATTCGATCAACGATCAACAGCGGTTATATGTATATAACACAGTTCGAGAACAATCCTGGAAATTTTGTAAGTTTCATCAGTTGCTTGTTAGCTTGAGATAGTCCTCCCATGAGTAAGGAATTGAGATCCTTTCTTCAATCGGGAACCGTTCGCATGATTAGTTCTTATTGAACTGAATCCGAATATGTGGGCATGGTCTATGAATTTGGGCCGGAACTCACTCCCCTATGCCTCTCAAAGTAACGGTTCAAGAGAATCGAGCTGGTTTTCCTTTCTTTTCCGCTCTCCACCTCGTTTGACTCAGGTACCAGGGAAGAACGCTTCAGAGGTTCATCTGCTTGGGTTTGGGTTGGGGATTCCTGGGTGAACCATTGAACTATGTTTAGACCATACGCCCACTTCAGCTAAACAATGATAGATTTCTTTCAGTCCTACTTCGCCAATGCCGGAATGCTGTGCAATCATGCATCAAACCAGTGGGGAATGATCTCTGGTGAACAGTACCTCTACAAAATCTGCACTCCAATCGGACATCGACCCTATCCCGGAACGACGCTGTCATTTATTCGAGACTCTGATCAGACGCTGTTTGTCGATCGACAGTATAACAATAACGATCTCTCGTAAGTGTTCTGTAGAATGTTCGAATAGTTAACAGAAAGAAGACGTTCGTAGTCCATTTGGTAGACAAATTTTTCAGAGAACTTCGCGATATTCTGAATCGAGTTCCAGACATCGCTCTGGTCATTTACGGTAGTTCTGCATGGAACGGCTTCCACACATTCTTCCTTCCAAATGATAAAGCATTCGCCAAGGTGAACTCAAATCCGCTTCATATGAACCCTGTTCGTCTATGAACCACTTTGCAGGTTATCGATCGACAGCGAATCGATCGTGAGGTTTTACTGGCACATGTGACTGGAATGAATCGAGTACTGTTCACGTATGCATGGATGTACGACGGTGGTATCCACTACTATCCGTCTGTTAGGTAATGATTTTTGTTTATTGGTGCAGAGGTGGTGTAGTGGCAAGCGGCGCACTATCACACGCATGGATCCCGGATCATAACCCCATAACCCGGATAAGCATACCTTTCATTACGATTCTGAATGAAGTCGAATATGGGGGCGCATCCCAAAGCGGAACGGGACACAAACTCTGAATTTTGTATTCCGCTGAAACCGAAGAAGTCGAGGTGTTTATGGATAAAAAATTAGAGAATACAATTGTGAGATTGGGTGAATAGTCTCGTAACACTAAGAGCTGCAATGCGTTGTCTATCGGTAGACAAGGTCGTATTTCCAGGTTCTCTTCGAATATTATCGAAGACAACTTCAAATTGAAACTCTCAATGCGAAACATAACTGATCGGCGGACAGGACGGTGGGATTGTGAGTTATCTGCACAGAATAGTTTCCGTTTTTAAACTCGCCTGGAGTGAATATTTTGGAAGGAAGTTCCTATTGATTTTTGCGCTTTTCGAATCGATAGCCATTCGACGTGCGTTTCAATGAGTATGTCCGAAGTCTGAAAGCAAATGACATCTTCCAAGTCATGAAAATGGAATAAGTCGACGACTAGAACATTTTCCTTTGCTTGTTCAGTCAATAATTCATTAGCTACAGTAAGATATTAGAAGAGATTGTAAATTATGTATTCGTGCAGTTCAGTCGACCTAATGTCTTTGTAGTGTACGCTGTCTCTGAAGTTTACGAACGCTATTCACAATTCCGAAGAGGAGCTGTGTGGGCGAAAATACTCGTACCAAATATTCCCGTACAAAATGGGGTCGTTCATATCGTGGACAATGTGCTTGGGATCGTTTCGAACACCATCGACCAGGTGATTACCAATACTGACAATCGAGAATTATCGGTTGTTGTTGCCTGTTGATGAGATCGATATATCGATTGACACCGTGAGGATTTTCAGCTTCTAATGGACAATTATCGATGTACGACGTTGATGCGTTATATCAATACAATCGGGCAGATTGTAAGGAACTATTTTTCGGCTACTGGCGGTCTGGTGACATTTTTTGCACCCGTCAATGAAGCCTTCGAACGAATTCCTGAGCAAATCGAACGGCGACTGCTGAGAGACCGAATATGGCTTGAACAGGTATGCAAGATATTTGTGATAGTCATCTCTGGCCTCCGTCATCACTTACAAATACTCGTTCCGGGTCGATACCTTATTTTGCAGCCAACTTACAGCAAAGCTATGTGGTAGAGCGGTTGTTATGTACTTATTTGTTTACTTATTTACATGGAGTCATCAAAAGGTCCGCTGAAATGAGAATAAGGCAGGAATATTCGAATAATTTTGAGATGGCTTCACTCTGAATGGCGTAACACGCTCTGACAAAAGGGCATGCACGCCTCTATGGAAATGCCCGCCTCCAAATTGACGAATAAATGTGCGGGTGCAGACGCTAAATCTTGCCCATTAAGATGGTCTCGCTTACAGCTGAACACTCGGACATTCAGCTAACAAAAAGGTTATTCTCTTATCTAAGACAGAGTAGGATTAGTCCACTGACCTGCCACAAACAAAATTTTTGAAGGGAAATTCAGAACTTTACGGGCACTACAACCCAGACCTAGAAGAAAGGCGCGGCACAAATAGAGCAATGATTGCTGTCTGAAATGAGACCATGCTCACGTTCAGAATTATCACTTTCATTATTCCTTCAGAATTCGATACCGCAGGACTATCGCGAACAGTGCCCTCAATAGTTATCTTTCAAAAATTACACTTATATCATTATATCACAGATTTGATTCACGTGTTTTAAGGTTCTCAAATTGCACATTGTACCAGCTAAGGAGTTAACGTCGGATGAGATAACCAATGACACCATCGTTTCCACTGTCGACAACATCCGCCAACTCTACTTTATCAAAGGAGAATGGCCAAAGAATAATATTAGTAAGTGAAGCTGTTTATAAAGCTCTTGGTGGTGAGCAGTGCGTTCAGCACTACTCAAAACCTCTAAGATAGACAAGCGTTCCCAACCCACAGAACGATTTGTGTGAAGTCACTGATGATGCATTCCATGCTCATTCTCTCCCATAGCAAGTTGGGCTATCTTGTGCCAGCCAGTCTTCGAGAAATACAGTGTCAGCCATCATAGGAATTGAGTCAACGAACCTCATGAGTGCGTGATCTCTACCCACTTACTGCTCCAACACAAAATCAAAGTCGAGAGCTGGTTTTCTCCCAACCGTACTTATCTGGCTTTCATTTCAGCGTACTATGTGATCGGTGGAGGTATCAAAACGGCAATTTTCCAAGATAATGTGGCCGCCACGAACGGTATAGTCCACTATATTGAGCGGGTTCTCGGCGTCCCGTATCAATCGCTGTGGGAAATAATCAGGAACGAGACGCGATTACAGTAAGTTTCACTTCGTTCTGGAAATAAGCAGACCTGTAACTTCAATTCGATACATATTCGAAGCCAAGTCTTCCCAATGGTGGGTTAAGTGTATGGTATTGGAAGGAAAGATAAGAAAACTCTACGAGACCTGCAATCTTGCCCATTCCATGCCCTACAATTACCTCTAATTTAACCTTAAACATTGTTGATTTATTTCTAGACTGTTAAATATGAGCGAGTACTCCAAGAAAAGTTTTGTAGGAGATCGTTCGAAATGTTGAGACACCTTCAGCTACGCTATTCACTCGATCCATGGCAGGTGCTGACTCCAGAGCAGAATTTTACATTCTTTGTGCCCACCAACGAAGCTTGGGACTTGAAGGTAGGACTCTCCGCTTTGGTTATCTGAGAAATACGTGTGCAATCTACGTAGGAATTTAGGGAATAACGATGATTGGCGGTTTAACGATTGAGTTAATGATTTCAATGAGTTGTCGTTGAAGCTACTTGATAGTATAGGGCGTAATATTACGTTGTGTGGAGAGTATTCTCCTTAACAGCCCATTATTATCCGTGGATTTTCTCGAAGCTACCATAGGATTTCTATGAAACGAAAACACCCCCTAACAAGGAAGAGGAAGCCAGTCATACGCAGGCCGGGTGGCTGCGTATGACCGGCTTCCTTTTATTGCTTATTTAACCATATAATGACCAGACTGACCACCTATACTCGACACGAATTCGACTCCTGCCACTCCGCCGCTGGAACCCATCAAAGCTGTTGTCAAATATTTGGCCTGGAAGCTACTTCTATGTGCTTCTGTGCACGCCTCGTTCTTACGCTTCAATCTGAACCAAACAGGCTGAAGATGGACCTCGACCTGGTCAACCGACAGCTATAGCTACATGGTCTTCCTGAAAATCTTGCAAGAAACTGACTGTTGTGAAATCTCCAACAGCTACTTCTTAACCTAACACGTACTAGCAGAGCTTTTTTATTTGATTTTGTTGTGGTGAGGTGAGACGCTCGTATGACTGAACTTATTTTAAGCAAATTCTTGTTCAGAATGTATGAGTTCTCTATTTGTAAGTAGGTGAACCCCGTTGACCCTCTCTTGCCCTATCTTATTGATGTACACCGCTCAGTTCTCCCGAACAGCAATAGATCCATTAGATTCCATTAAGAAACTTGTACCCTCTACCGTTGGCTGCTGCAATAAAATTCACAAATTGCAAAAGTAGAGAATTCAGGTTGCACCATCGCTACGAGCTCGTATGACCGACGGTAATCATTGGTTAGCGCTACAGTATGTGTACAAGCGGCACATAATTCAAGGACAGGTACGGTAGTCTTTCTTTCAGCCCTTTAATTTGTGTTAAGAACTAGTTCAAGAATTTTCTTACTTTGTTTTCTTCGCTGGTAAACCTTAGTCCAATGAAATGACCTTTATATGTGAACCTCAAGTCGTTAAGGCTTTAATGTACACTGACCTCCGTGAACGTACCTATGTAATGATGAACGATGAGAAGGTGGTGATCAGGCGACGTGGACGATGTGAGACCTCTTCTTTCGTTTACTGGGCCATCTTTCTCTCTTTAAAATGGTGCAAATTACAGATTTCGAACTCTACTGGCCTCGTGGTGGTCGGGTTGCTCGAGTTATTGAAGGGGGAGAGATAGCTGGTAAGTAGTGTTCAAGATTGGGTTTCCACTTCAATTTTTCAGGGTTTCAAACTTTCGAAAAAAGGAATGGGAAGGGATTGTGTATCCCGTGGAAATGACTCCGTAGAATGTAGAAATACGTCTGAACTGAAGGTAGCCTTTCAAGTCGGATTTGGCTCACGAGAGTCTGAAAGTTGAAAGCCTTTGGCAAACGTCGGTCGTGCACAGTGTATAGGTAGGGTTGTGGTCTGAACTGCCTTAGTGTATGCTCGTACTTTTGACACTAGAGAGAAACACACAGACAAATGGGAGATCTGGACTGAGCCAAATATCTGTGCTCTGAGAAAACAGGTTGCCGGTTCATTAGAGAGGCTGTATTTTACCTTCGAGCGGGCTTGGGAGGCACCTCAGACTCCATATACTGTAGATTCATGATTTGTTACAAAGAATACGGAAGGATGTGAAATATTTTTGAATAAATTCGAAATTAAGGTATCAATGGTTTTATGCACATGATCGAGGACGTGCTCATCTACGAACCCGATCTTCGTGCTCACGGTGGTTATGTGGAAGTGTTAAGCTGGCAATTGATGTTTGTACTAGTGTTTATGCTGTGGAAGCCTGGTGGCTTGTCATAATCCAACCTAAGAATTGTCGGTGCTTCCACCAGGGTCACTTAGTGAGATTCCGAGCTTTGTCTCTATAATATTATTTGTATACGTTATCCATTTCTGTTTAGGATACAGAAAGTTCCTATCTGATTTTGTTTCATCTCAATAATCTCATCAATTTTATCGGGTAATTCTATTTTTTATCTTTTCCATTTGCAGCCATAAATGTTTACTGTGGCTTTTTTCGGAGATAATGACAAGATCATGATATTTTCGGATCTGTTAAGCCTACAGCTATTGATGTGGGGAAATGGTTGATCCCTGAAAAATGATGCATATATGGAGCGTCGATGGAACGACGTCGATTTCCGTGGAGAAAGATAATTTCAATTGGATTGGGATTCACTGAAAAAACCGATCCATACAAAAATTCAAAAAACACTGTGTACTAGGGCGTATCCTTGCAGATGCCAAAATTATTTATTAAACCCGACAATTTTAAAGTGAATTCCAGAATATTCCGTCATTATTGCAGAGCAACTAATGATGAAGGCGATGAGCACGGAGAAGACGAAAGCGGTAACCGCCTGGAGGAGGTGGTGGAGGTCCAACTCGGTAACCGCCTGGAGGAGGAGGTGGTGGTGGAAGTCCTCCTGGGGGTGGTGGGGGAGGTCCTCCTGGAGGTGGTGGTGGCGGTCCTCCTGCAGGTGGTGGTGGTGGAGGTCCTCCTGGAGGTGGTGGTGGTGGTGGAGGTCCCCCTGCAGGTGGTGGTGGTGGGGGTGGTGGAGGTCCTCCTGCAGGTGGCGGTGGTGGAGGTCCTCCTGCAGGTGGTGGTGGTGGAGGTCCTCCTGCAGGTGGTGGAGGAGGAGGACCTGGAACTGGTCCTTTACCATCGCTGTTGTACCCTTGCTGATCTCCTCCATCTGACGAAACTGGAGGTGGAGCTGGCTGTACCATTTCGGCTGCTTCATAGCCCGACGGTCTTCCAGCTAGCACCGCACCGGCTATTGCGAGTAGGATCAGATAACGCATCTGCAACGAATCTTATCAAGAGAGGACAATAGATATGTATGTAGTTTGGAGGTGAATCAAAGAGGAGATAATGAGAAGAAGGAAAATGTTTTCTACTAAACTGGAGGAGCTGCCCGAGATATAGCTGACCAGATTCCAGCGTATTTATACTGAAATGAAGTGGTTTATGGTCAGATTGTTTTCGATTTTTTGGAAGTTTTCAATGACCCCCCGTGAGCGGTACGAAACGATCAATCTCAGCTGAACACCAGTCCTTGACTTCATAAGACTTCCCGGTTGATAGATTGCATCACATTTTTCTTGTACATGACATAATCATTGAAATCCTAAGCAGTTTTTCGATAAATATTCGAACAAACACTTCCGGGTGTAGACACGACGCTTCCTCAATTTCTGGGAGGACCGTTCACCAGCACTTTATTCAGCGCCTTTCCTTCAGGCCAATAGGTGATGTCAACATTTCCATTCTGAATCGTAGTTTACTTGATTATAATGAACCCTCCCATACTATCAACGAAAACCGATTTGAAATCGTTTGTTTAGAGAAATAAGTGAGGTTACGAGACTGTAAAACATGTGATGGCTCTATCAATGACCATTTTGTCCTTGAGCTCTTTTCAAGCAATTACTGTTCAGTTCTCTTGAAGGAACCACATCCATGGGCTGCACGATGGTGGACTTCCTGAATCCAGTTCACGTTAATTTTTTTTTTGTTTTGATTGGGCAGAATCTCACAGCTCTGCTATGGTTCGTGAGTAGCACTGCCTGCTTCTGCCAAGTAAAATAAAAAAAAAACTGAGAAACCCTAAGTATATGTTTATTAGGTTCAAATTTGCGCTTCTACAACTCCGGGCGTACAACAGGAAACTCCATTTGCACAGGTGTTATCTCTTTGTGAGGAGAGAACTTCTAATCCTGAGAATCCCTTTTGAGCAGCCCATTTTTGAACCCATAGAAGCCTTATACTCAGCTCTTACGACTGCGAGTCATTCTACAGACCCCATAAGCATACGCAAGCCACTAGGGTTCTAGTCGGACTGCCATATCCTCTCATTCCTCATTTGGCGTTCCCTTTTGGGTTCGAAAAAGTGACGAGGCGCGAGATCTAACGGAGCCAATTTTCGCGACTTCATACTTGACCCTGTTAGCTGTGTTCAGCTGCTGGAAAACCTGATTATAGGTTCATGAGTTTGGAGCTCATAGATTCTGCAGCGACGACTCCTCATAAGCTCAGAAGTCGAGAGGAGACATGATGTCGGAGTTCCACTGAGGATGGAGTTCACGCTCCCCTCCATTAACGGTATAACTCCAACATCCTCTCTGAGCTCCCTACGCCCCTTCATGTGTAGGGTCAACGAAGTCCAACTCCTGATTTAGTCGAAAAGCGGAGCAGAGGGTTTCGTTTGACGCTGTATAGAAAGCAATCGGTGACAATCTGGCATTGCCTAACCGGATTAACATGGGAGCTTCTCATAAGTGCACATAGACAGACAACGCCATAATTCTTCTCTTCCATTGATTAATCATGCCTGTTTTTATCGTGCCATTAGCTCCCAAATGGACTGCCAGAAATCAGTTTTATGAATGACTTGAATAGAAGAGAGAATGGGGCAATGGCAGCCGAAAATCCTGGCTTTCTTAGAACTAGGTGGCTTAGAACCTCCACCGAGCTTCACGATTTATAGTTTCCAAGAAGATTCGAAAAGTACCAGCGATGTAACACTAATAGTACCCCGAGCAGTACTAGGAAAGTAAAGACGTATTTTGGACTGCAAATAGGGCTTCATACCAATCTCACCCTCACGAAGACGGCATGCTGACTGATGTTAGACACAAAACGCATTCGAATGCTTCCTGTTTTCCGACAGAAAGAGTCAGAAGCGTGGCGCATTCCATAATCTCTGGTTATTTAGGGGACTCTTATAAACATCCATTTGATTTACGAGAATATACGGCGTATTGTATTCCAAGCCGATTTTCAATGGTGTTCTTATGTAATGTCTAATGAATTTTTCATATTCATTCTGTTGTTGTTGTTGTTTACAAGTTTCTTTTGACTTTCCCACGGAGCTGCCCTTTATTCTCAGGATGCCGCCGACAGTGTTCCGCCTTCTTCTCTGAGGCCCGGCCTCGCGTTTTCCCTCACGCCTTATCCACTTATGCCAGACCACGCCCAACGCTTTTGTTTCTACGCACTCTACCAGAAATACCACGTACACACCCACAAATTCATCATCCATTTACAAGGACCGGTCCCAATCAGCCATCATCAGCCCTTCTGATCTCCCTACCGATCAATAATGTGGTCGTGATGATGGTTATTCATATTTTCTGGTTTTTCGTGCCACATGTGCTGGGCACGATTGGCGTCGTCGGAAGCAAGTTGCAGCTGCAGTTGCTGCAACAGCAACAGTCCTGTCGACGATATTCCATTTCGAATCGTCCTTCGCAGGACTGCTCATCACAAAACCTTTCCGCCCTACCTTTACTGTTCCCAGATGTGATCTCAATGAATTTGGCTCACAATTCGTTTCCTGTCATCGACCGATTTCCAAGAAATTATAGCTATTTGCATACTTTGAAGCTTGATAACAGCGGCATAAGAAAGATTTCCGTACAGGTTTGCTAGTGTTTTAATTTTTTTTTNTTTTTTTTTCGCATATATCTCTTTTTTTTGTAGTCAGAAAACTTTACAATAACGAATCTGGGAGTGAACTGGACTAAAAGCTAAAATCTGAACTGGTACGACAGCAAAAAATTGAAGAAGATTGAATTTTTTTTGGAGGTTCCTTCCAGGAACGAGCGACTGTCACACCACTTCCACTATCCTGCTCAGTGGCTGGGAAGCGCCCTGCCGTTTGATCACTCAGACACCAACTGGGTTCTGTTCGAATTGTCTGAACTAATAGTAACGAAAGCAGTAGTGATAAGCAGAATTCGATTTGTTGTAAGGCACCACTTCAATATAATTGCCTGTTTACTCCTTGTTGGCAAATATGTTTACGTCATATTTTTGAGTGACAACCTGACTCTGAACGATTACCTTTACGAAGCGTGAATTACTTGAAAACCTAATAAAGGTAGCCAAAGAAGGACTGAACAATGGCTTACTTAATGTACTCTCTCAAAAGTAAAATACTTCCGAAGGTGGCGGGGAAGGGGCTAGAAGGGTAGCAATGTGCTTTTTTCCAAGGTTGTCCTCTACCCTTTAGGAAAATTGATGTAGGGTTAGGGTGACTGAGATTTTTCACTCATTCTCTCACGACTCTCGTCTGTCCTCCTACGAAAGCCGCTCGAATAATGCGGCTGATGAATGTTTCAAGAAGCTTTCCGAGCGGGTCATCGAGTGGGGACGGCGACAATTTCGGCGAACCCTCCACGAATCGTCTGAAAAGACTCTTAAATGGAGAGAGTGAATATGAACTTCAAGGACAGGCTTACTGGAAGGGGAAAACACTATGTCCCTGCATTTCATGGAATTGTATTGCTACTCCTTAGCTTCTGAAAATGAATTTTCGCAATGCAGACGTGGAAAATGGCCGGGTTGCCCGAAGATAGATTGAAGATCATGAATCCTCCTTGAACGTTACCAGGAAATGAATTCCTCAGTTGTCGACAGGCATCTGGCTTGAAGTAATCGGCAGATTCCGAAATCGGGAGTCTTGAAAAGGCCCGTTCCCCAGCAGCCAATAGGTGGGACGAAAGCCTCAAAGAAAGTAAGCTTTGATGTAACTCCATTTTTGACGTCCTCCAATCTATCAGTACTATATGACTGCAATGGAAGCTCATGGTTTTCCTGTTTTCGGACCGGACCCTCCTCAATTGGCTCTACACACGTCTTGTTGTCCGCCAAAACCGATGATTTGGCCGATTTTAGCACTTCCGGAGTCTTCGTTGTTTGCACATCTTTTTGAGTGGGAGGGTTTCCCACTAAGGGTCGTACTATAGTCGTGGTTGAGTATGGCCTTGGGAGCAGGAAGGATTGTTTGAGAAAGAATCGGATGAAGATTCTTCGATACTACGTTCACCGTCCAAGGATCGACACCATTCCACGCATCAATATTCTCCCTCTTCCATACCTTTTTCATTACAATACATTTCAAAATACAAAAAATAGATAAATAGAATTCTAAAACATAGAAACATGTTATTTTGTAGGTGAAATAATTCAGGAGTTTGGTTTGCTGTATACTGATCGTTGGTTGCCGTGTTAATTTTGTTTATCAGTAAATAATTAGGAAAATCATATGTTTAGGCTCTGTCATCACTCAATAGCATACGTGTACTGGATTTATCAGGAAATCAACTAAAGACTATCACTTTCGGCTTTGGTCCTCACTATATCACAACCCTCAATCTCGCACACAACTCGCTCAAGTCAGTGCTCTCTTTTTATAATTGTATACTTTTACCTTATAGTTATTCAGTCATTTGTGCAGCAGTTTGGTTAAACTTTAGGATTTTCGATGATAGAATAGATTTTTTCTTAAATTTTGCATTTTTGGAACATCTTTGATCAACCTTTTTGCAAAGTGATCTACCGATAGATCGATGTCGTGGAGACGCGCCATCGACCATCTCCCTATCTGCCTTCTTCGAAACACTGTTTCAGATTGTTTTTATTTATTTACTTCCCTAGTTGTCATTATTTCTACTTGATTTTCTTCTTGTTTCTCGACTTTATTATTTACAGTTCTTTTCTACTCCTCCGGATCTTTGACCACTTTGACTTGAATTGAAACAATCGGTTACAGCCGTTTTGCCACTATTTCTTTCGCCGTATAATCAAAATTATGTTGTTGCTCAGAACTTAATTTAATTGTAATAGCTTTGTTTTCACATTATCTGAAGGAACTCTTCGATATTTAATCGGGTTTCTATTTATCAAGTACGAAGTCTATAGAGGGATAATAGCGATTACAACGAGGCCTGGACCAAGAATTTTTTGACAGACCTGTCAGGTTCGGGACCAGGCCTAGGAATTTACTCACAAATTTGAGAAGAGCCCGATTTTTTTCCCAACCTTACTTACAAATAGATTTTAACCATTGCCTACCAAGGCAATCGATGAATTTTATTATTTATCCATAATTAATATATAGAAAAGAGTGGGCTTCGTGTTGTGATGTACCCTTTTTATTCTTCAAAGCACTGCTACTCAAAAAGAGGAATATTTGAAGTATGCATTTCAAAAGGTATTGAAAAGGGGTTCGAGCCTACAATTCATCACGGGGCGTTTCTTTTCTCTCTCTCCACGGTCTCCGTCACCTCCAAATGAGCCCGAAGGGGATAGGAATTTCGTTGCTCTGACGGATTATAAGCCAGAATTAATTCCCGTACGTCTCGTGTTTAATCTAGGGTCCAAGACAACAAACCTCATCCCTCTGTGCTCAGTTTGATGGTAACAAAAGTGCATTGAGAAATGANAGGGTCCAAGACAACAAACCTCATCCCTCTGTGCTCAGTTTGATGGTAACAAAAGTGCATTGAGAAATGAGTGGTTCCATGCTTATGATGACCAGTTCTGCCTTTCCATGGCATCTTGCCCATTTCTTCACAGCTATTCAAATTCATAGCTAGAGTTGTATTTTCTAGGTTTATGCCCGATTTGAGCTCCCTGAGCTCTTTACGCTATGTCGATCTGTCCAACAACGAAATCGAAACCGTGAAACCTTCCTATCTTCCACCGAATGTCGAGTCACTTCGTCTGTCAGCCAACAAAATCGCTCATCTCACTCCATGGCCGTTCCTGAGGAAACTGCAGGTTAGCATTGAAGTCGTTTCTCGTTCTAATGGAATACGTTGAAACAATCAACAGCTGGAATCTGAAACATTTACGAGGCAACGTGCAGGCCTATGAGGCCATTAGATTGATCAATTCTTACATTCTGCAGGTAATTATTCACACACATGTGCAGAAGGTCCGGTAATTAGTGGGTTCCGCATTGAGTGCGTCAACGAAGACGAGTGTCACAAGCATTTTTCTGATGGGAGGNGTCCGGTAATTAGTGGGTTCCGCATTGAGTGCGTCAACGAAGACGAGTGTCACAAGCATTTTTCTGATGGGAGGTGCTCTCAGAAATTCATTAGATGAAAAAGGGTTCCTGGTAAAAATTGCTGCTGTGAATACTGAAATTACTGATTACTACTTGTGAAACTCTGTTCCTGATAGGGAACGGTTGTCGCCGACCGATCTCCCACTAATGCGCCATGTATTCGCTCATCATAAAAATCGCAAATCGCATTGGAATCAGTGCTGAGTAGGTACAATGCTATTAAGCGAGCTGACATAAAATTCAGTGACTTCTACCCTTTGTATAAGTCTTCAAAAATAGCCGACCCTAATAGGAGTCGAGAAAAGTTCAGGTAGCTTAGGTGAGAGCCGCAGCCATCGACCCTCAAGACCGAAGTCCGCTTATCTGCGCCTCTCTCTAGATCTCCTCCGTCTTCATAGTCCAAATAGTAATATTTCGAATATTTCTAACAAAATTAGAAAAACAACTGTTCGAAACGTTCTCTTTCTTCAAGCTTTATCAAGTTCTTTTAAATGTTATTTTTATTTCTGTTCTGCAGCTACTGCTTGATTTCTGACTGCAAATAGTTCGCTGTGGGGAAATGGACAATTTTTTCAAGTTGGCTTAATTTAAAGCTCAATTTGTTGGCAAATCGCCTCCAAATAACATAGAATTGATAAGGAGGAGTCCTTGTAGGGTATAGCCATGGAAGGCTGTTTGCCTTTAATTTGTCTCAACCCAGCAATTAGCTCGACT